GAAGAGCTTGCGCAAACGGGTGCAAAAGAACCAGCCCTCGAAATCAGTGGGGATGTCGACATCCACGCCATCTCCACCCAAGTAGCGATGGTGGTCCAGGTGGTAGCGCTTAAAGGACGCAGAGTAAGGCAGCCCGATGGGCAGATTGGCAAAGATGGCGAACCAGCGGTTCCATTTGGCGCGGTTGTTGCCGAAAGCCGTGTTGTGAGAGATCTCGTGAATCGCTAGTGTCATTGAATGGTTTATGCAACTCCCGAACACATATGTCCAGAACATGACCCATTTCCACGGCAGGTCCTTCACCAAATAGAAGGCCAAAAACTGGACGGCAACCATCGTATAGACGATCCATTTCAGCCTGGGGTCGGGTCCCATCAGAGACTTGATCTCTGGGTATTTAGCTGCCAAAACAACAAGAGACAACAATTGTAAATCTGAAATAGTCTGATGTGGAGGATGAGTGCATGCAAATTATGTCCATTTCCATGACAAATTAACGCAACTCGACACCAGTGGGATCTGATGCGGTGGCTCATATGTCTCTGGCGTGCAGCGTCATCCATATCTTAATATGCTTGAAGCCCATGTCATTTGCATAAAGCGTCCAAGAAAACTATGCAAAACACAGTAGAATTTAAATACGAGCACTTTTCATACAAGGTATTTTATAATGCGAGTACTGACTGCTTTGAGGTAGGAGTGCTACTTTAAAACCTAATCCAGGGTTTAAATATTACATGAAGCAGCAGGGCAAGGTGACGAGAGGTCTGGATCGCAGCGAGCTGCACTCACTGTTACTGTACATGCAACAGCGTATAAGGCAGACTGCATGTCAGCACAGGTTTGCATACTGGATCATCTCCAAATCACACAAACATGAGCTCACATGAAGAGGGTTTGCTTAACAAGTAAGGATGATGTGTTGTTTGGTTAAGACTGTCGCCAGTGAGCAGGAGAAATTAGCACACTCCATATATCATATTCAGTCCAGTGGGGTTTTTTAAAGATAATAGTTTAATACAAAATGCAGCTTAATTCTTTATTCATAACAGCTGCAGCAGGATATATAATCCATGTGAACAGAACACGTAAATAATATAATAACTGAAAATCTACAGAATCAGTCACCAGATGAGTGGTGTGTTTGAGAGTGTGTGTGCGAGAGAGAGAGAGTGTGTGTGAGTGTGTGTCTGTGTGTGTGAGAGAGTGAGTGAGTGTGTGTGAGTGAGTGAGTGAGTGAGTGAGTGTGTGTGTGAGAGAGTGAGTGTGAGTGAATGTCAGTGAGGGCATCATGAATAAATCATGAATTAGAAACAGAGCAGTTTTGTGTTAAACACAGAATGATTGAAGTGAAGCTGCTGTAATGTTCATCCAAACTCCACATATGCTGGCTCATCAGCTTTCCCCATGCATTCATACTGCAGGTTTATCAGTAAAGAGTTTATGTTACTAATAAAACAGCATGTGTGTGTGTGTGTGTGTGTGTGAGAGAAAGAGAGAGAGAGAGAGAGATTCAGAATGAATAGAATCAGCACATTAGCTAGCCTTCCTCATGTGACTGTCACTCGCCATTTTAACACTTAATACATAATTAACGGCTGAACAAACAAAACAGAGATCACATAGTTAAAAGAGACACAGAATTACACTATAACATACTATATTCGAATAGTTATGAAACTCGCTAGCCGCTAATAATCGATAAAAGAGGCCGCGGTTTAACTGGTTAGCTAGCACGGCTTCATGTGTCACGAGACCTCGCAAGATCCTCTGAAGTCCCGACAGATGATTAGCCTCCTCTGAAGTCCCGACAGATGATTAGCCTCCTCTGAAGTTCAGTCGCTGTCGAGTGGCAGATGAGCGGAGTTTGCTGCGAGTGAACGGTTAGCTCAGTGCGCAGAGGGCTGGAGTCGGGGAGTGGCCCTCACATAACGGTCGCCTCAGACCTAACGAGCGACCTAACACTCACACCACACGGCTTTATGTGGCTTAGTTAGAGAAAACTGAACACAGTAAAGATGGCACGGAAGCATTACAACAAAATAAAGAGGCTTGGCTCGTCTGAGTTTCCTCGGGAGTCGCGGCTGAAGCGCCACAGAGAGCAGGTTACAGAGCTCAACACCGCGGATGTGTACCAGAAGAGACTTGTTTAGTAGTTATGAGAGAAGAGGAGACCTCACCCAAAATCTCTTTCCTCCGGTCGGCGTGAGGCTGGTCCGTATAAACCCACTCAAAATCCTCGCGAGCTAGCGTCACGCGATTCCCCATTTCTGCGCTAGCGCTAGCGGTCACTAACTGTTAGTGCGCGGTAACGTTGCGTGTATCGCTCAGGAAGAGAGTGCAGGAATAGCAGCGGGTTTCCTCACACGGGTCTAACAGCAGCTGCTGGACATCCTCCTCTTCCTCGTTTAGCGTCTGTTTTAGCGAAGATCTTTCGGTTTCCTGACGCGCCGCGGGGGGCGGAGCCTTCACTTCCCCAGCACAGGTCTGCGACTGATCTCCTCTCACAGACTCATCCACAGCAGATAGCTGATGCATGTGCACATACACTGTTATTTTCTACTAGCTAGAGATAAACATTTAGCAATCATTTGCAACGAATCTCTGCTTAGACTGACGAAATGAGGAAGATCTAGGTCATTTCTTTCAGATTAAAATGGCTT